TCTCTTCTAGAATGTTAACATTATAACATATAATAAAATATGTCCTTCACTAATCAGAATTCTCTAAAACATTTATCGAATATTTTTCATCTTAATATTCTTTTCTTCGACATTTTTCCTTTCGATATTTTTCCCTTTCGACATTTTTCCTTTCGATATTTTTCCCTTCGACATTTTTCCTCTTCGACATTTTTCCCCTTCGTCTTTTCGACATTTTTCCTTTCGACATTTTTCCTTTCGACATTTGGACGGCCAACCTACACTTTCTATGAGCGATAAGTGCATGATATTCATCTTTAACTGAACTGGATTTTCTGACCATCTTAGTCTCAAAGCAATCAGAGTAGGATTATGAATGTACAGTTTCAGTGAAAACACAGATATGCTAACAGTAATTTACCGATAGTAAGTCTCCTGAAACACTCAGTACACTGACATGGGTTTTATCAATACTGTGAGTGCACTGACGTCCAATGACTACTGTCGATTTCAGAGTAAAGTGACCGTGGACATTTTTTGAATAATCTTAAAACAACAGGAGAGAAATAATTCGAATTTTTAGCACCATCTAGAGTCGACATTACTCTATTTGTTTACAAAGTCGATGGAAAATTCCAGGCACTTTTCTTCTTGGATATTTCATGAACTTTGAAAATGAGCTTGATCTGTTGTAAAAATAAAATGCTTTCTCAATTATGATTTAATGGACAGATAGTCCAGCTTCTCCTCTATTGATTCATACAAGACCGAAATTGACAACTGTTTGCGATCAAAAAATATAAATATTTTACTGAAGGCTCCTCACAGAATGTTTTCTTCGTACAGTTCAAGAATATACTTTATTCAAATGCGTATGCACTGACAGTCGCATGCAATTGCAGTCATTTCAAGTTACCAATTAAAATGCATCCAATATTAAATGCATTTGAATCATTGAAATGAAACGGTTGCTCAAAAATCTTCTTTAAATCGTTTTAATTTGCATCGATTTAAACTGATGCAAAATTAAATGAATATAACTTGATGTAAACTGTAGAAAATACACTCTAAACTTAATTAAATCCGTTTAGAGAACTGTATGCATTTAAATGGCATTTATGCTACTTTTCAGCTTTCAGGGGAGTGTTGAGTACATACTGATTGAGAAACAGAATGTCAAGAGGATGGGATGTTACAAATATCCTTGAGTGCTTTAGGCGCTATGGTTGAATGTTTAGAGTGTTTGACACGTACTCCAAAAGTATTGTGCCCGAGCCTCGAGACATTACACATGAAATGATCATGGGTAAATCATTAACGGTTGTTTGCTTGAAATCCTTCGTCCGATAGTATTCTGACTACTTTCTAACATGCACAAGCCCTCTTGACTAGTATATGGTTAGTCAGTGTGTATGAAGACTCAATTGAGCGACAGAACTCTGAATCATACTGGCTTTCTGTTCATAGCTACAACTAGATTTGATTGTAGGGAAGATATGGGACTTACGAAACTGCCTTCGAGCAGAACCGTATACTGTAAGCCAGCCGAAAGATGGAGTATTTTTCCTTCTTCCTTCCTATGATTGTCTTTTCTCCTCTTCGCCTTTTGACGTTGAATTTCTTCATATGAGAAATCGACCGTATACATCTGTCTTCGTTCATTGTTACTTTTCTTTCATAATTTTCTTACATCTCGTTCTTCAATTATCCCTATTCGTCTGTTCCTCAACATCTTGACGATGTTATTCAATTCTTTTTTGCATCCATTTGTTTTATCGGAAAGACATTTATTTTTCATCGTTGATCTGAAGGCAAGTATGTTAAGGTGAATAATGGTGCCATCATGGTGAACAAAGCATGAGTTATCTGTTTTCCATCCTCAATTTTGGTTCGTGATTTTTCATATTTTATTTCTAGCTGTTTGATGTTCTCTTTCTACCTGAAGGTACGCAGACTGGTGACAGACGGGTCATTACTATTTTGGTAGAATTCCCTTTGGTATTTTTTTTTTCGTTTTAGAATTAAAATGAACTTTTTCTCATATTCCATTCGTTTTTACCCTCCGAGTATCCTTATTTGCCAGGTCTCTTTGATGTCATCCACTCATTTGTTCGTATCCGTTGTTCTCCTTCAAGACGTTTTAAAAGTCTTAAAAGAAAAAAGTACCTGAATTCTTGTGTGGAGTAAACTCAGCAATGATCAAATGCTTTCTAAATGTTTGAAGATGTAGAAACCACGTAACCATTATTGAATGCATGATACACAAGAATTCCAGCAATTAGACAATGCCACATGCGCTTCCCAGACAAATAAATATAACAGTCATTGATTATAATCGATTATCGAAGCGCAATAAAGTAAGGATATGAACATGCAACAATTCTAATAAATGGTGAATCGAAATTGAATTATAATGCAGTACATATGAATAATTGATTATAATTGTTGCATGTTCATATCATTACTTTCTTACGCTTCCATTGGAAAATAGTTGATTATAAACAGCGATTATTTGATTTTTTACATGGACACCAGTTGTTCTGCTCTCAACATTTCAATGCGTTAAAAATTCGCTACGCTCATTCAGAACATAGCAAACAATCTGCTATCAGTTGCATTAAAAATTAGAAGACACTGCCGATTGTAACAGCTTTCATTGTTATTATTTTTCAGCTGTCTCCACTTGAAATTGCTCTTGTGGTCTACTTCTTCTGGTACTTTGTCAAATACATTGCTTTGATTGCCATCGGGTACACCCTTGTGCTCCTAGCCATTCAGAGTATCTTTAGTCGCATATTCCTCCATTTTCGGTACGTATTCTGCAAATGATTGTCTACTTTATAACCATTTTCTCCCATGGTAGCAATAAAATTTTGCAAGTAACGGATGAACGTGTAAAAATCATGTCTGAAATAATCAAATCGATGCGTATCATCAAAATGTATTGTTGGGAATCCGCGATCGATAAGAAAATCCGTCATGTGAGAAAGTAAGTTTATTTCATATCGAATGTAACCGTCTTGTCTCAATTGGTTCTAGACGTGAAATCATTCAATACGCCTGCTGTTTGATATTCGAGTGCATTCAGTTGCTTTGCTCGCAAACTTACATTAGTGTAACATTTCTGATGATATACACAACGATGTGGGCGCTTAATATTCGATTCGACACACAGTTCTTTGCCGTTGCATCCTGCTTGCTTGCCTATATGCGAACACCTATCGTCGAGTTTTTCAGTATTGGTGTCAAAGCTTTCGTTCATTATATGGCTGCTCAGAAACGGATTCAAGTGAGTTCATCTGATCGTATTTGTAATGGATGAGCTATGAAAAAAGATCCTCACAGTATTTTGACTATAAATTTTTTCTTTTCAATCTTTTGATCTGATTATTTTTCACAAAAAGGCATCGTCAATTGCTCCGCCAAACTTGATCATATTTATTTCTATAGAAAAGTTACAAAGAAAAATTCAACAAAGATGACTCAACATGATGAAACCAACGAACTTCCTAAGTTAAAAACGTTTTGATAAACTACTTACTTTGAGCTTCATGATAAAAAGAAGAGAAGATAGATATTTTGCAGCGCTTGAGAAGTTCTATTCCAGCAACCGTTATTACATGCATACAATGTTAATTCAATTTTTGAGACCGACATTGGATTTCTCTTTCTTTCAAAGATTCCAAAAATTCAGCCATTTGTATTTGTAGATTCAGAACTCTTAAAAAATATCGCATAAGAAAGCCCAACGCCGTACTTTTCAGCTGACATCTCCCTCTCTCGGCTGATAAATTATTCTTGTGCCAGATTCAGCGGCGAAAGTCTGTAAAGACTTCTTCATAAATTCATCTGCAGAACAATCGCAGATTTCGATCGATTTGTAGTGCATTCTCCTATGTTACAGTTTTCGATGCTAAGTCAGATTTGAACGAACTGTAAACTGTATAAAGAGAAAGAGTGCACTTCAAAGTACTCGAAAATAGCTTCACTCTTGTTTCACAGTCTTTACAGTTGCTTAAAATATTCTAATATTTGTAAAATAAAATAATTTAGAAAGTTGATCCATCTCTTAATGCTTAGTATTCTTCATTGAATTTTTCTCCTTTATTCTTCTATAGAAATGATTAGATTTGATCAAATTTTGTGAAGAATTTGAGGACGCATCTTGTGGAGAAACAATTAAGTCTAAGAGTTGAACGAAAAATTATACATAGTGAAAATACTAAGAGGCTCATGCGTTGTATATTACTGAACAACATTTACGAATAGATATTTCTTCTGCTTGACGAATCTGAACGAGACAAGCGATTGTTGTCCCGACCGGAAACAGAACTTGCGTCTGATGAACAGAAGGAAAAAGTTATGCCTGAGAGTACTCCAACAATATCACCAAGTGTTGTATGCAATTTGGAACGAGCACAATGGGAAAAGGTATGATTCTCGAAAGGGTGAAGAAGTAAGATCGCTTTCCAGCTTATAATATTTTCCAGAATACACAAATACTTGTTTCACTTGAATTGAGATTGATGTTTTGAGCTTCCTATGCTATAGATTTCTTTGTACAAAACCTGAGCTTTATATTTCATTCAACCTTCAAACACTTACCAAATTCTTATGAATAGTGGTGTCTGGATTTTAGATGACGTTGATTTCTACAATGTCATTCTTCTACATCGGAATGTGCAAAACGATATATTCAGTCTTTGGACGTGTCTAATGTTAGTTTTTGTGAATCGATTTGCTAATATTTGCTCTCTCATTTAGAATGCATCATTTTCTCTCGACAGCATTGTATTCGATGCTCATCCAGGTGAGTTGATCTGTATCGTTGGGCCTGTTGGAGCTGGCAAGGTCTGAAACTTATCTGAAACACAAATACTATTTAGTATTGATTTATAGAGTTCTCTCTTGCAAACACTCACAGGTGAAATCGCCTTTTTCGATGGATATGTTCGATTGCACGGCTCATTTTGCTACGTACCACAAGAGTCATGTGAGTATTTTTAATTAAAATAGTCAACTATTATTGATTGAATCAGGGATCTTTTCTTCGACAATTAAAAATAACATTTTATTCGGCAAAAACTATGATCCACAATTGTTTCAACATGTTGTTCAAGCAACTGCACTTGATTCAGTAGGTATACTTAAATACAATATTTCATATATGACATACTTGTGAAATAGGATTTTGCTCAATTATCACACGGAGAAAACACTCTTGTTGGCGATCAAGGCGCCATGTTATCTGGAGTAAATAGCTTCACTTGAGTAAAGACTGGGTGTAGATCTTTTTTTTTGTTCTAGGGCCAAAAGGCACGAGTGAACATGGCTCGAGCACTCTATCGAAATGCAGATATTTATCTTTTGGATGATCCTCTTTCGGCGGTTGATGTCAAAGTAGCCAAGCATCTCTTTGAAAAGTAGACAAATTCTAGTATTTAGCGAAAGCAAGAGAGAAATTATTGATTCTATTATAGGTCGATTAAAGGTTATCTTGGTGATAAAATTTGTATTCTGGTCACACATCAAATTCAATTTTTGCAAAATGCAACCAAGATCATTCTTCTTTACAATGTATGTGCTTTACGCATTGAGTTTTTCAGTGACTACATGCTATTTTAGGGTGAAGTGGCAGGTATGGGTACCTACACCGATTTGCTTGTCTCATCCACATTATTCCGTCGTCTACTCGACGATACTCATCAACACGAGCAAGAAAATTCTGTTGATCTTCATCATGAACAAGAACGAGAGCTTTCTGTCGAACTTCCACATCAACAATCGACTATTAATTCGACAAGTCCGGAGACAGAAGATGGGTTGTTGGTGGCGTCCACAAGTGTTGAAACAAAACAAAAAGGCAAATTAAAATGGCGTGTGTATGGCGCATACTTGCGAGCCGGTGCTGGCATTGTTGTCGGTCTTCTCCTTGTATCACTTGTCTCGGCGGCACAACAAGCGGCATATATCTTTAGCAGTTGGTGGTTGGCAGCATGGAATGATGATGAAAGCTATCGATATCAGATCTTTAACAATTGCACGACTAGTCAGCAACACAGCACAATATGGTCTATGACTGATGCTGAATGGAATAATTATCGAAATCGACGATTCTACATCTTTTCTGGTCTATATACATTTTGTGAGCTCATTCGATGAAATTTCAAATTAAACTTTAGGAATTGTACTCGTTTTTGTTCTGATCACTCTGTTCCGTACTGTCGTCATTGAATTGATGTTTTTAAATGCCGCACGAGTGCTTCACAACAAGTAAATATTTATGTAGTTTCGATGTAATGCCGCGATTGATTTTCTTTAATAGGATGTTTCGCCGATTGATCCGAGCTCCCATTGTTTTCTTTGATACAAATCCTGTTGGTAAGTGAAATATACCGGAAACGTATCTGTTGGAGCACGCTTTGGAGTGATGACGCATTTTTGCTGGAAATCCTCTCCTCGGTAGACTTTTGAGCTGAAAACCTTTATAGATTGAGGACAAAATCGTTTTGTACATTGAAACTTTTTGTCCTGAGACATAAGAAAACACTGCATCTTCTAAGCAATGAGAGAAGACAGTAATCTGATCACTTTCTTGCATGAATAAAAAAAGAAATGGGTATTCTATGCACTCATAATCTGGCTCTTGTACAAGGAGATAATTCAGGGTTGACCAGAATGGATCAACGATTATGATGAAGGCTGGACGATTTGTTTTTGAGGAATCATCACGGAAATCAACATAGCGTAAGAAAAATTTTCCGCTTCTGCTGAAGAAAACGAAAATTTTCCAAAGTTTATGGTGCCACTCGGCGCTATGACCAGCCTTGATATATTAACAACGCACGGTCCAAGATAAAAAAATGGGACCAATTGTTTCGCAGTCAATGAGTCATGTCAACATCATGACCTTCTCTTCAAGATCAATTCAAGATGATCGCCAAGTAACTCTAGAAATCAAATGTTGAGTTTATATGTACCATGAAAGATTCAATCGTTTGTGGATTCTTTTTCAATGGCATTTCTAGGCGTTTGTAGCCGAAACCCGATACAGTCTAACACAAGGTTTCGTACTAGACTCCTTGGTTTGAAAACGGTTCTGCATGGATCTCCAACTATTTTGTAGCGATGCGAAAAAATTGTTTTTAGGTTCGGTTAACTAAAACGAGACTTTGCATCCTGTATATAAAATCTTTTCGGGTCTATAGCATAAAATCGTTTCAAGTTTCATCAAACACTGCCAGTGTTAATCAATTAAAACCACGACGATATGTCATAGCTGCAGAGTAAAATCAAAATGACGTGTTCAGTTGTAATGATTTGGACTTATTTTTCAAAATCTGCAACGAGACAGAAAGCACAATTGGCAGAGAGTCGAAAAAACGTTTCGATCTTGAGCCGCCATGGAACAGTTCAGATTAATGATTAGTTCCCCAAGCTTTGAAAGTTCACTCTTCTACCATGATTATTAAAAATATATCCATGGACAATAGGAAAGACATGTGTTTCATATAGACACATGTATGTGAAAGGACAAGAAGTATTTTATCATCACATAAACTAAAACATCTCTCAATCACTTGTTTATGAACATTTTCTCGTGCTGAACATATTTGCCATATATAGATATATACCCTTTTGCCGTTGTAGGACGAATCTTGAATCGTTTCACTAAAGATGTGGCCATCATGGACGATTCTCTGCCAACCGATGCTTTTGACTTTCTTGATGTGAGTCGAACACGTGTTTTTCACGCGAATTTTCTTGTTGTTTAGTGTTGTTTTCAAGTTTTCGGCGTAGTTGCCTTAATCGGTTGGCTCCATCCATGGTCCATCGTGCCGGCGCTAATTTCCGCCGGTGGTCTATTGTTTGTACGCTATCGTTTTGCGTCAACTTCTCGTGATTTGAAACGACTCGAAGGCATTACACGGAGTCCTGTCTATTCTCACTTAACATCGACTATTCATGGTCTCAAAGTTGTTCGATCCTATCGTGCTGAAGATGTGTGGTCGGCCAATTTTCTAGGGCGTCTGGATGATAATACACGAGCAAACCATCTAATCATTGCAACTAATCGTTGGGCTGCGATCCGCTTCGATTGGGTTGCACTCATTTTCATCAGTCTAGTTACATTGCTTGCGATGGTTCTACGTGTCACTAAATACCACAATTTTTCACCGGCCGAGATTGCTCTGGTTCTCTCGTATAGTCTCAGTCTCATGGCTTTACTGCAATGGACGATCAGGTAAATATAGTATGAATACATTTTGTGTGAATTGTTAATTCTTACAGACAATCAGTGGTAATTGAGACACAAATGACCTCCGTCGAACGTGTACTCGAGTACTGTTCTCTTGATCAGGAACCTCCGGCTCGAGTTCCGCACGATTTTCGACCGCCGCCAAATTGGCCATCCCATGGTCAGATCGTCTTCGATAATATTTCAATGCGTCATTCTACACAGACATACTTACCACTTGATTTGCGGCATATCTCGATGACAATCCGAGCTGGTGAAAAAGTGGGCATTGTCGGAAGGACAGGTGCCGGCAAGAGTTCTCTCATTCAGACACTCTTTCGTATGGGTACACTTGTTGAAGGTCAAATCAAAATCGACAATATTGATATCGCTTCTGTTGGCTTGGACGATGTTCGACGTCGCATTTCGATAATTCCACAAGATCCCGTGCTTTTCACGGGTACTATGCGAAGCAATCTCGATCCGTTCGTGCATTATTCAGATGAGGAAATATGGCATGCACTCGAACAGGTTTTTTCCCGACTAATCTAACGAGGGAAGCTCACCATGTGTTAAGCTGCGTTTGAGCTCAAATTTTGTCAACAAGTAGACGATGTATAGACTAGAAAAATTCCAAGAAAATATAGGCGTAAGTTGTGATTTGGCCGACGAGGGAACATTCCAAAGTGTCAAATCGCTTTTTGATCGAGTACATGGTCAAAAGATAGACCTCAATGAGCTATTAAATACCCTACAATGATTTCTTTTTTCAAGCCTCCTGAGCAGAGATATGCGATTTTTACTATTACTAGTTTTTCTGTACTACTGTACTAATATATTCTATAAGTTGATTAAACATGCTCTGATCAGGTTCAAATTTATATCAGTAGCAAGGTATTCAGCACTGATTAAGATCACAGAGCTTAGAGATAATATTGCAAATATCATGGGTATGATTGTTCCTTATGTTTATGCATTGAATGTCGTTTACCGTGACGATATGACATGTATTGAATATTTTCTCAACAACTCTCACTTTCACACATTAAGCAATTCTCTCCTTTTTTTATTTTTGTAGACACTTTTCTTGTTTATAAACATATCACTGAACATAGTTTAAATGATGAAAGTACACGAGTCCATTGTTCCATTTTTCATTAAGTAAAGTATCGACAAATAGCTAAAATTTCCAAATGTATGCTCACTATGAAATAAATGTATGCCGAACATATCAGATGGATCCATACTTATATCTTTGAGCAAGAACACATGCTATTTTCTAATAATCAATAGATAGGTGAAACAGTTTCATATCTTCGATAAAAGACAACGATTTATTCTTAAACCGTTGGGATCTTAACTAGTGCTGAGTGCCTCACTACTGATATAAGTGTGAGCCTTATCAGAGCATGTTTAGTCAAGGTATAGAATATATTAGTACAGTAGTACAGCAGAACTAGTAATAGTTAAAATCGCATATCTCTGCTCAGGAGGCCTGGAAAATCAAACCCGTGTAGGGTATTTAATAGCTAATGCCTTGATGTGGGTAAAGTTTCAGGTAAAAAGTCGAAACTTTGATTTTATCGGAAAAGTGAAGTGCTTCAGGAAAATTACAGAAAAATATCAATGCATCAGTCAAGTCGCAACTTGTGTTCATATCCTCTGAGAACTTCTCTAGTCTACATATCGACTAGAGTGTGGACAAAATTTGAGCTGAAAAGCCTTTTAGCACAAGGGAGATTGTCTCGTAAAACTGAATTATTAACTTGAAGTTGTTAAAGGTCCAATTAAAAACACTAGTGGCCGAAGAAATGCCGAATGGGCTTCATTCGATGGTGAGTGAAAGCGGCTCGAATTTGAGTGTTGGCCAAAAACAACTCGTATGCTTGGCTCGAGCTATTTTGGAACAGAGCAAAATACTTGTTATCGATGAAGCCACTGCAAACGTTGATAATGTGTATGTGAACAACTCTTCGTTGAAACCAGAGTTGCCAGATCTTCTGAATAGTCAGCACACTTTCTGAAATTTGAGGTTTTTTTAATCCCTTTTTCATTCTCCGACATCACATGCCATTTTCTTCTTTGTTTTTCATGAAAAAATGCAGACCCTTTTCTGATGAAACATGCATTCAAGATACTTTATAGAAGCCGTGGACCATAGGGTTTATCATATTCTCATTGTTGGTCATTTTCTTCAATAGAAACAGTTTTGTTTCTCACTCTCTTGCCGTACTTTTTATAGAAAAAAGTTAAATATTTTCACAGTAGTTTAAACAATCAACACTAAAACTGACTGTGAGGAGCTCTGTATGCTTCAAGCTCGTTTGACTTTTTTAATATTTCTCCGCCATAGCTCTTAATTATATGAATAAAAATCGAACCTTATAAGGAATCTTTATCTTCTATACTTCAAATTAATTTTCAACGTAATTTAGTGTATAAGTTTTGATTATAAAAAAAAATCAACGGATAGATAGAAAAATCTGATGGATTCTGTTGAATCATAACAACGATAGAATTTACTAGAGTTCGAAAAGACTCAAAGAAATCCATCGAATTGCACCAGAATATAAATAGAGCTCCAGTGCTCCTCAATGGTCCGGGAAAACTAATTCGAGTCATCAGAAGCTGAGCATTCATGAATGAAAAACTACATGGGAGAAGAAGTATTATTAATTCTTAATGCTTAGATACATGGAATTGAAATCTTCTCAAAGATAAGGCGAATTCTAGATCCCGGCGGAGTCCAGTAAATTCTAACGGATCCCAATGGATTTCAATGAATTCACTATAGTGTTCTTTGTAGTTCATCAAGATTTTAATGCCATAGATTCACAATTTTGTTCTTGAAGAAAGCAGTAGGATTTATGTGATTAGTACAAAAAATTAAAATGCGAAATAAACTGGCCTAAACAAAAACAGA